TTTTGTACTAATTAGGTGGCAAGATACAGCTGTCCAATACAGCAAAATAAAATGTACAAGGGGGATCCATATCACTCACTGTTAAGCACAGCAGAAGCCAATAGTGATTTCAGTTATGTCTCAGAACCAACAAAATCTGGTTTCCAATGGACTCATTATTCTCTAACAGAACTCTCATATGCCCAAATCCTTTCATATCATAATTACATAATACCATCAAGCAAGGGATACTGCAAAGTACTTAGAAAACCAGTATGTTTACACCCTAATTTAAAGAGCAACAACAATGCTTTGGTCTTCCCATTCTCCCACTCCAGGTAATTTTTACACTATGGTCAGACTCCAGGCAAATTGAAATAAAAAAATTCTTAGAGATAACCAGATTCTGACAAATTGTGTAAAAACTCAAATCAGTGTCCCCACAAACATAACTTATCTACCAAATGCACTTCCTGGCAGCAACCAGCTGACAGATTATTGTATACAAGAGATGCCAGACTTGCCAAAGCATGTGTCCGGTCTGGAAAGAGTATCACAAGATACATGAGGAGGGAGAGGATTATTGTGTAGGAGACATGGGGGAAGGGCAGGAAGAACAAAGGACACGTTTATTAAAAAAGCAGGCTTCCCAATACTACTACTCATGAAGCTATTGGACTTCTTTCACTTACGAGGGGTTCTGTAAGTATGTAGAAATAGCCACTAAAAAAAAAAAACCCATGACTAAGACAATTTGCCTTGAATTACACTAAAAAGCAAGAACAAAAGCAAAAGCAAGAACAAAAATACGTAGGATAAATCACCTGATGTAGTCTACCTTTTAAAATGTTCTGACATGTGGGACTTCATGGTGATTTATGCAACTCTTCAGGTTACAAAAAACTATTAATACAAGTACAGAAAGCCTGTGCTTTATCTCCAACAGAGAACACCTATATTTACAATAGTAACAGAACACAGCACATACAACTTTCTATGCTGCTCAGACGCTTACTCTAGCTGCAGGATAATTCCATGTCAAGATTCTGTTTCCTGAGCCCAGCCCCTCTGTCACCTACCCTTAATCAAACACCACTGGGTAAATATTTTAAGAAGGAAAATAACATTGTTACTTTGAACCAACCATATAGAAGAGGAAATGGATGACAAATGCATTATTGCCTGAGCTTTGTAGAAAGCAAATCTTCTTTTGCTTTCTACAAAGAGAATAAAACCAGCAAGTTTCTGTAATGATCACAAGTATTATGTAAATATAGTCAAAAGTGCTCTCTGCAAACACACTACTGTACAGCCTTTTCCTCTGGCAAAAGACTGCCTTCCCTTCTAAATATAAAGCTTGGGTTTATAAACTTTTAGCTTCTATTCAGCAACTCAGAAAACTACCCCTTTCTGCCTTTTTTCCACAACACTACCAGAAAAAGAAGACTGTCAAAGACTCTATATCCTGGCAAAAGGCTACTTTACAGAAAGAGCAGGATTTATTTGCAAGTAAATGGGCCACCACACCACACTGCTAATTATCACGTCCCACTACTGTTGTGGTTTAAACCCAGTCAGGCAACTCGTTCGCTCACTTCCCCCCCTTTCTTGCCCTCCCCCTGCTCCCGGAGGGACGGAGAGGAGAATCAAAAAGAATGCAACTCCCACGGGTTGAGATAAGAACAGTTTAGTAACTAAGGTATAACACAGATCACTACTGCTACCACCAGTGATAATAATGATAAAGGAAATAACAAGGGAAGAGAATACAACACCTCAGCACCAGCTGACCGATAACTCGCCCCCCCAGCCCCGACCAAGCTCCGACCGATACCTCCTCCAACCCTGCAGTCTCCCAGCCCTTCCGGCTAACTCCCAGTTACATCCTGGGCATGATGTGCTGTGGTATGGAATACCTCTTTGGTCAGTTTGGGTCAGGTGTCCTGTCTCTGCTTCCTCCTGGCTTCCCCTCCCCCCTGGCAGAGCATGAGGCTCACAAAGTCCTTGGCCAAACCAAAACATCGCTATCAGTTCTGTTCCCAGGCCGAAAGTCAAAACACTGCACTGCACCAGCTACCAAGAAGGAGAAACATGACTGCTACTGCTGAACCCAGGACAACTACTTATTCCATTTAGGAGCCCATTACACAGGACTTAACCTAGGTTTACTAATCTCTCTAGATCACTCTGTCTTGCTAAAGAAATGTTGGCCATATAAACATGATCACCAAGGGGCTGTCTACCACAGTTAGCTTGGTAGACATCACCTAAAAACAAAACAAAGCTTCTTACACAAGTCCTTCATTACCCAGATGACATCATATGGCTTACAAGAGATACCAACAATCACCAACAAATTTTTACTTTAAAGAAGACCATCCTAATTTTATAAAAGTTAACAGTCTTCCTATGCTGGTAATAGCACACAACCATTAAATACAAGGCCAGTAAGTACCTCATTAAGACTATGAAGCTTTGTTCTGGCATCAAAGGAAAGGCATATACATATATATGCACATATATGTATCAAACTCAGGTTTATGTTTGTTTTGGGTTGGTTGGTTATTTTTACTAGAACAAGCTTCAAACATTACTCTGAAACACAACAGGTTCCTGATGCATCACTGCCATTTCTGGCTGCACAGGCCTTGAACTCATCAAAGCAGCAACTCTGGCTGCAATCACCACTTTCTAAGAACTTCTAACCAAGTCCAGTTTTGAATACCTAATGAGAAGAACTCCCATCAACAAATAATTTAATTCTGCTTTCTACTGTTGTGTTTTTATATTTATTCTCACTACAGACTTACAATAATGTTGTGCCGGTAAATTTATGAACCAGAGAAATACGTTCTCATTTTAAACTATAAAAGCCATGATTTAACACCGTATTATGTACCATCAAACCAAATCTCACCCCATATTTTATAACACTTCTTTGCTCAACAGCATAATCTACTTCCATTAGAAATTCCTGTCACCTAATCCCACTTTTCCCATAATTATTTATTGCAAAGTTTTCTAAATGCTCCTAGAGAAAGTGTCAAAGTATCACCCAAAGACAAAAACGCCTTATTCTAAGCAATGGATAGTAATCACCATGGAGAAAAAGAAGCAATTACAAAAAGGTGGAAAACTGAAGAAGGGAAGTGCTTTGCCAAAGACTATAAAGTGAATCATTAGTAAAACCAGGATTTCAGTCCAAAATCACAGCATCCTAATTCCAATTCCGTTAACTTTTCCCTTTTGCTGGTACTACTTTACAGATTTTATTTTTTCCTCTTTCTCTCCCTGTCTCCAGGGAATCATGACCTAAAAAGTAACTGTCTAGCAAAGGACAACCCTGGGTAGTTCCATGCAACAGTTCCATCAGGATGATGCACACACTGGCCAAAAACCTCAGGATGATAAAAACCATCTTGCAAAGCCTGAAACAGGCAGTATTTATGAGTTTTTCCCACAGCAATATATATAATACTACTTGAAGCAGAAATTATCATACAAAAAATATAAACCTAACCGAAAATCAGAAGGAATAAAGCAGCAAAGCAAACAAAAGCAACAAAACCACAGACTGAGCACTAAGTCTAGGCTTCCAGATGCAGTTAAGAGGATACTGTCAGCTTGCAAACATGTCAAGCAGAACTAGAATAATGAGCATTCAAGGCTCGTATTCAACATATATGCACACACTTCAGTTTTAAGCAGAAGCAGTCCCACTGGTTTCTTCATGATATCAAATGCAGGTAAAGTTTTAAAGCATTAATATCTGCAAGACAAGAACTGACGAATCAAAAGACTACACTTCAATACTTTTTCGAAAGTCCATTTCAAAAAGATTTTCAGCTCATTTTAACAGCAGCTACCTTCCAAACAGCAATCAAAAAAACACCCCAACCATGAAGCCATGAAAGAGGAAGCTACCCAGACTCAGAAAAATTAAATCCATCTCAAAGGCTCACCATGCAATGTGTTGGGCTTTAACCATCAGCGATATGTTTATAATTAATTACAATGAATTCCATGATTCTGTCTCTTCAAAAGTGTTTTCACTTCCTTTCTGTAACACTACACCTAACTAGCTCAAAAATGGTCTCTCCATCATATTCTAAATGAAAGATATGCTACAAAAGCAGCATCCATGCACCCCAATAAACTGGCCCAATCGCTTCATTACTGAGGCAATCCTGCCCGGCCTCAAATCACCTCACTGTATTTCTGATGAAACTTGAACAATATAATTTTCTTTATAAGTTTTCACTGTGAAAACAGATGCTAAAATGAACATTTCCCTGCAGTGTCTGCAACACTAACACTGCCGCATAATGTCAGTGCAGATCTAAATCCATTGTCCAAACTGACTGAATTTAAAACATTAAGTATCAAGTGGCCAAATAATTAAAAGAATAAATAAATGCATTTTTGTTCCCCCCCCCCCCCCCCCAGTGCCTTCACTATTTTACAGCAGGTCTGGCAACACAGATAAGAAACAACGCGCAGATTACAAGACAAAACAGCATTTCAGCCACTTAATGTAATCTTCAGCAAAAGGTGTTACAAGCTTTTTCTGCAACCCTCCCTACACTCGACACAGAATGACTGTCACAATTTTACAAAACATTATGAAATATAAATTTGTATACATGAAGGGGTGAGGGGGGATAAAAACAAAACCAAACCTTGAGGTATGATTCTCTCGGTCCCCACCCTTCACTCCCCACAGCATACCGGCAAACTGCTCTCTATGGAAGATCACTTTTTGCTTTGCTTTCGCCAGCTAAAACCGAGGGCAACTTCCCCTCTCCCTACTGCCACACACCATGTATTTATTCAAAGTTCCCGTATACATACACACATGCACCCACACCTATAGACACCCACGAGCAGGGCATGCGAAGGGAGAAGGATAGCGGACTCCCCCACAGACAGGCGCATCCCTACAAAGGCAAGAAGCGAGGCAACCCAGCCCTCGGGTGCTGCCCACCACACCTCACCCCTTCCTGGCCCTGGCCCCGGCTCACCGGTGGGCGCGCTGTCGAGGATGCGGAGGTCGTAGGCCCCGGAGCAGCGGTAGTTGGCGGCGGTGCCGTTGTCCCACACTACGACCACCTCCTCGGGGCTCTCGAAGCTGCGGACGGTGCCCACATGGCCTTCGCCGCCATCCTGCTTCCCCCACTTCCAGTCCGGGCCCCGGACCACCCGGGCCCCAACTCCCTCCACCATTACCCGGTTGTTCCGCGAGCTGCTCATCCCGGCGACGCCCCACGGGGCCGGGCCCCGGGGCGGCTGGAGGGGGCGCGCAGCCCGCAGGCGGCGGAGGGGGACCCCGATGGGGACGGCTGCTTCGGTCGCGGCGAGGGCTGGCACAGGCCGCGGATGCCGGTGCGGAGAGGGAGGTGGAGGGGCGGCGGGGAAGGAGGCAATCCTGACGCGACGGTGAGCAGGGGGAGGAGGGAAAGGGGCCCAAGGGGCCGTGGGACGCGACCGGGACGGTGGGAGGCTCCGGCTGGCTCTTCTTCTCGCTTCTTTCCTCCCTGTCTACCTACCTATCCCCAGCGCCGCAACACCGTCCCCACGGGGCCGGCCCGCCCGCACCCCACAGCGACAAACCCCCGCTCGCCCACCGCTACATCCGGGAACTGCGGCCGCGACGGCGGCAGCACCAGGGAGACCGGCAGCCGCCACCAGCGTCCGCCTCCGCGCAGCGCGCATGCGTATGTGCCCGACCCGCCGCCTCTGCGCAGCCGCGGGGCCTGGGCGAGGCGGTGCAGCGGTCGGGGGCCCCCTGCAGAGCCGCGGTATGCACTGCCCGGCTGTCCAAGCTCATCTGCCGCCGCCGCCGCCGCAGCTGCTGCTGCCGCCGCCGCTGCCGCCGCTGCCCCCGCTGCCCCCGCTGCCCCCGCTGCCCCCTTCCCCGGGCGGATCGCAGGCCTGTGCCGGTGGAAATGGGAGGAAGCAGAGGAGGGAACAGGGGTTTATTTACTCCAGCCCCGAGCTGAGCTGCCCAGAGCTCCTCCGAGTCACCAGTCTGACGGTCCTTCCTAGCGACGTTGAGTGCCCTCGGCGGGGTGCGGCCTCGCCCCGCCCAGCGCTGAGGTGATTTGGGCGGTGGGGGCTAGGCTTCCGAATCGCCCTCTCCATCCAGGAGAAGCTGCTAGTATCGCCTTTATGTTAGTGACAGGGGGATTAGATATAAGGAAGAAGTTCTTACCTGTGAGGATGTTGAGGCACTAGCACAGGTTGTCCAAAGAAGCTATGTCTGCCCCATCCCTGTGAGTGTTCAAGGCCAGGCTGGACGGGGCCTTGAGAAACTTGGTCTACTGGAAGGTTTCCGTGCCCATGGCAGGGGGTTGAAACTAGATGAGCTTTAAGGTCCCTTCGAACCCAGACCATTCTATGATTATAAATTCTATCAAATAATTCTTGCACGATCTAGCTTAGGTAAATCTGTATTGCATTTCCCTTGTTTCTAAGTTCCTTCTGTGCCCTGAAATCCTATTTTCTTTTCAAACTGTGGACGTGACTCTTGCATGCTGTTGAGGTGAGCCTAGTGGGGCTGTACTTCTGTAGCCCAGGAGCTTTTTTAGCTGGTATTCAGGTGCTCCAGTCAGCAAAAGGGGGAATTTGTTCCCCCTTCCCACCTTGGGGCATCCCTCAAGGTGGATGTACCTACTCAGACTTTGAGCACATAACCTACCGTGGGATTCTTCATAAACTCTGCACTCTTTGTTAGCACTTTTATGACACTAAAGGATTTCCTTTAACTCCACACATCCTGGCTAATCTGATATAGAATGTGATTTTTTCATTTTTAAAATGGTCCTCCGATTGGTTTTGTCTCTCTCTAATCATGCTCTGTGCCAACTTTTTAAAAGACAAGTCTGAACTAGACAAAAGAATACTGTTTCTTAGTCAACAGAGAAACAGGTGATAAAAGCCCAGTTACCCTTGTGTCCAGGGTATTTTTACAGTCTCTGTGCTTCCTTCCACCTTTGTAGTTATTAATATGGCTAGAAGAGTCTATGATATCACTTCCTGGCTTCTTTTGTGCAGTTTTCTCACAGTATGTATAGCAGATCAAAATAATATGAACATGTAACCACCAGACTACCACCACATTCCTCACATAATTCATTCCTTCCTAACCCATTGTAAGGCTAAAGAATGTTGCCTTAACCATGAAATTGTGTCCTGACAATAGGCACTCCCAAGCAGCATCTGGTTTCTACTTCTGGAGTGGAAACCTCAAAACACTAACAGATACCACCCCAGGAAAGCATGCCATTGTCAGGCAGTTTGGGTTTTCTTACAGAGGCTTGTCCCTATACAAAAGCTACCCACAGCTCGTACTAGCTTATTACATTTGGTATATGGCAGAATATCCCAGAAATTCTGGAGAGTCCTTGATCTATTAAAGGATCTAGCTAGGCTCTGTTTATGGTCAAAATGTTCCCTTCTGCCTGGATCTACTTCTTTTGCTTTGACAGTTATAGGCAAGTATAAGGTCCATGCATGTCTAAGGACAAGCTGGAGCACGTTTTTCTGTTACTCTTTGATAGGGTTGTGTAAAAAAAGGCTTTTTGCAACCAGGAAATCTGTACCAGGAAAACCAACGAAGTCTGAGATCAGAATTAGTTTTCCTAGAAGAGCTTATCCCTTACATTTGTTTTTCCAAGAAGGCCATCTCCTACATTGTAGATCTTAAGGGAGTGTGCTGCTGCAGTTCAGCAGCAATATGTGTGGACAGATATTATCCTGGAGTTTCTTCTATCTTGATAATCCTTCTCCTGACCACTCCTGCTCTGTCCCTCCCAATAGCCCCCGCTTCTCCTTTGACTGACCTGCTTTTTCTATCAGATGATTTACGTGCCATAAACAGCCACTCCTCTCCCAGTCCATATAGGTGCACAATCTAGCATTTGGACTTGTTAAATGTCATCCCATTAATCATTGCCCAATGCTCCAATTGATCTGTATCTCTCTGCAAGGCATCTTATCCCTCAAGAGGGTCAACAGCATCTCCCAGTTTTGGTATCATCAGCGAACTTGCTAATGCATTCAGCAACCCCTGCGTCCAGATCACTCATAAAAGTAGTGAACAGAACTGGCCCCAGGACTGAGCCCTGAGGAACACCACTGCTGCCCACTCACCAGTCAGGTGTAGCCCCATTCACCACAACCCTTTCAGCTCTGCTTTCCAGCCAGTACTTCACCCAATGCACTGTGAATCCCACAGTGCTCATCTCATAGCTGGACAACTTGTCCAGAAGGATTTTGTGAGGGACAGTATAAAAAGCCTTACCGAAATCCAGAAAGACTACATCCACCGCCTTCCCTTCCTCTACTGGGCAGAAGATCTTATCATAAAAGAATATCAAATTTGTTAAACAGGACTTTCTTTCCCTTGTGAACCGATGTGCTCATGCTCCAGGTAATTTAATCTGTCAGTCCTCAAACTGGGGGAGAAAATGCCACCTAAAACCTCACTACTGGACTTAGCAGAAGAGGTTTGTTTCTTTGCTTTTTGTGTTTACCATCTAGAAATTGTACTCACTTGTAACCCTCCTCAAACTCAGCACCAGCAGAGGAATGGGACTATGTTTTTTTTCTTCCATCCCCGTTATGGGAGAAGACCATCAGGGCAGGCTGGCAGAGCCATAATGCCTTAAACTGCTGCAGCAGAAGCAACTAAATCTCATCTGCCAAAGGCCTTATTTACCTGGACAGTGCTGCTGTAATTGAGCACTGCTGCCTGCTTTGCGAGGCAGTGCTCACTTTGAATACCTCAGGTAGTCATGACAGAGCAGTTAAATCACAGGTTGGAGCAAGGGAATCCACACTGCTTTAGGCACACTTGTCTACAATTGCAAAGACTTATTAATATGCATTCAGTGCAGGAATCTGGATACACAAAAAGAACTACAGAACGAGTTCCCTTCTGGCTACCCAAAATAACGTGTATTGCTGAGTCACACCCTCCTCCAGCTGCTGATTATGGTCTTCCTCACTACTTCCTGCCATATTAGAGCAATCCCGCAAGGGGCCATGAGAGAAGACCTGTACATAACCTAATGACATCCCTTTAAACTCCTTGTTGTTGGAGAGCATACTGGCCTTTTGTAAGAGCAGCTGCTGCCCTCTTAGAAGGTAGAACAACTTTCAGGACAACGTTCACAGAGTTGCAGGAAATAGGACTTTGGGGGTCATCCAGCCTATGCTCCTGTTCATCTAAACCATCCCAGAGAGCTGCTCACTGAAACTCTGCCTGGTTGCCTTTCAGTTCTGCAAAATGTCATGCTCTGGCAGGGAATCCTAATAGAAGTATTTGCATGGATTGTAGAGAGGCTTTGATAGAAGTTTTTCTGGACTGTCTGGTTGAATCAAACCAGCTGAACTTGCACTGTAGGATCTGGAACATGCAATGCAGAAAGGAGACTGTGCCTATTTCAGGAGAGAATCCCGTGTGAAAACTGTTTCATATAGCTTTTATATAGTTTAGAAGAAAAAAAAATCCCAAATTCTTGGAAAGACAGTCATTAACTCATGGGGTTTTGAGGTTTTGTTTACTATTTTGCATGAATCCTGAGTTCTCAGAATTTGTTATATAAAGGATATGTATAGATAGCTTCATAGAAGTTTGGAAAGAGCATCCAGTTTACAGACATGTAGTTTTCCTTTTAAAAACAAAGGTAGAGTTTAATTTATACCAATCTGAGATAGAAAAATTTGTTTTCTCAGTTCAAGACTCTGTATTAGAATTAGCAGTTTTCTCACACCTCCTCTTAAAAAAATTTAATTTTCTGTTTTTCTGCAAAGCGGGGGGGGGGGGGGGGGGGAAGGGTGTGTTATAATGCATTTTTTTTCTGTGGACATAAGTATTCGGAAAAAGTAAGCAACTGCCTTGGTTTCATCAAAATGCACCTACTCTTCTGGGTGGAACTAACGCAGCTAACTGAGGTAGAAAGATGGAAGTATTGGCAAATGAGATGAAAGCTACCGTTTTAATGAAAAAAGTTTTTCCCAAACGTAACTGTTTTTTCTTTTAATGAAAAATACGTAATCACTCTCAGCAGAAACTTCTGGTCTGATGAACATACCACACCTTTTTAAGTGAAAATATACATAATATATATTTTCGAGAACCTGAAGAACCAGTTAGGAACTTCAGGGCCTATCCTGTTTATCCGTAGTTTAATGTAGAAAAAAAACCCTAATTCCTCAGCCTCTGCTGCCATCAGGTGGCCATGTACCATGTCTTACCAGTGCTAAAACACCTATCCTGTTAACCTGTTGACGCTGTATTTCTGCTGCTTTCTTTATGAGATTCATTATCCATAACATAATCCAATTTCTTCCTCAAATTTCAGAAATGTCATGAATAGTTGACATTGAAATGTCATGAATAACTGGCAATAATTTTCCCTTAGTTTCTGCAGATTACAATATTTTTAAATGCCAGATAGTGAGCAAACTGTCATGTAGCACAGCAAACTGCTGTGGTGGGTTTGGTTTTCACTGTGCTACTGATATCCTCTATGACAAA